TACTTTGTTGTTGAGTTGTAAGAGTTTTTTTTTTTTTTTTTTATATATATAGTCTGGATGTTAAACCTTTAACAGATGACTTGCAATAACTTTCTGTCCTACGGGTTGTCTTTTCACTCTTGATAGTCTCCTCTGATGCACAAAAGAAGTTTAGTCTTCAAAGGAAAATTGCAGTGGCAGAAAAAACACCGGGCAAATACCAAATACTGGCTACAACCAAGTGACCCCAACTGGAGCTCCGGATCATCCTAGACTCTTTTTTCCCTTCACTTCATTCATTCATTCATTTGCTTAATCATTCATTCATTTATTTATCGAACAAACTCAGAGCCTAGTTGAGAAGACCAATATGGACATAGAGGACTGCCGTGCTGCATGTTGAGAACACCAGCCATGGGGAAAGGCCAGGGGGCTGCGGTGGACGCACACTTCCAGCCATACAGTGGATTAGACCTTCATGTCTCCAAATTTACCCTTCTTCTCTGCTCCTATCGCCCCTCTAGTCTCATCCCATTAGTCTGGGCCCTCTGAGAAGCTAGCACAGGATGAGGTGAAATATGGAAGGATGTCCTTAGGGAAAACACCTATGGGAGAGAAAAAGGGAGGGAGGGGAAGGCTGGGATGATGCAAATCTAGCGCCAGGGGAAGAAGACAGGGAAGGAGGGTCAGGTGGAAGGGTTTTGTCTGCTGGATACGTTAAGGAGAGTTCGGCAGGCGTCAGGGAGTCCTCAAGCTGAAGTCAACTGTCAGGGGAGTCCTGTGTCTCCCAGGAAAGAGCCTGCTTAGTATGTCTCCTGAGTCAACGGCGAAGAGCATCCCATGGGAAGCATGGCCTTGGGGCACACACAGAGCACAGCATTGGTCCATTATCTTCCCCGTAGTTGGAGGTCATGCTCATTCGCATGGCCCCCACAGGGCCACCAGAGTGATCTTTCTAAAATGCAATCTCACCATGCCACTCCTCTGCTCAAACACCTTCCATCGCTCCCCACTGTCCTCAGGCTAAAGCCCAGCTCCTTACCCCAGCTCTCAAGGTTCTCCAGGGGGAAGCAGGCCATTTGCCCTGTGTGGTATCTTGCCCACTAATCCTCACTCCTACCCAGCCATGCTGGACTGATACCTGTTGCCCCTCAGACATGCTGTCCTTTCACTCCTCCATGCCTTTGCCCACCCTGGGCCCTCTGCCTGCAAAGCCCTTCCCTACATCTTCCTCGCAAAGCCCAGCCTCCACGTCAAGTACTTTCCCCAGCTTCCCAGGCTCAGGCAGCAGCATCCCCTGGCTCCGTCTCTGGTCCTGCCTGGGTCCTCTGGAGTAGACAGAGGATTCCTGGGGCCGTGTCAGGAGAAGGAGACAACTGCCACAGCACTGCCGGGCTTCCCTCTTTTCCTCCCAGTGCAAGCTGGCTTGGATGGCCTCGAAATACCCTCATACCCGTGTCCTCCTCTGCTGTGGTCACAGCAGAAACCCAGTGCACACTGTCCAGGGCAACCAGAGATAGAAGCCCAGCCCATCCAAGCCCTGCTCCACCGCCCCACTTTGCAACCCTGCCTTCCTGGACTCAGGATTCAATGCTTTATTTTTAGACCACTTGTTGGACTGGGGCTCCAGGAATCTGCCTGATGCCTGAGGTGTAACCAGACCCCACTGGCACTGGCCTTGAGCTGTAGCTCAGCAGAGAAGCAGTGAGGGGTTCCAAGGGCAGTGCTGGGGGCTGGGGCCCCAGGGAGGCAGCACACTAGGGCAGGCAGACCCTCCACTGAGATCTGGAGGTGGGGGTCTTTCTCTCCCAGCGCATGAGGGGCCCCTACAACCTGACCCACCTGAGCCCCTCCTTTGACACCTGGGCCCAGAAAGCCCAAGGATACCAGCAGCAGTTCGAACTCACGTCTTCACAGGCAGTCACCCTTAGGCCAGGTATCGGCTCCCTCGGCCCCCTCTCTTCCCTGCTCCACACTGTTCTACACCCGGCTGAGTTTGCCTGCCTGCCCCCGAGGGCCTTAATATGGGCCTCTGCCCAAATCAAGTACCTCTACTCTGTGCCGGAAATGCAATCATCTCACATAACCCTCACCACACACTGTGAGGTGGGCGCTGCTGTGATCCCCATTGTACAGATGAGGAAACTGAGGCTGGGACAGGGAAAGCTAACCACACTGCCCTCAAGTCATCAAGTTCATGTTTCTATTGTGAAACCTTGCATGCTGTTTGTCCATTTGATAAATATCTTATCTGTGCACTCCAGGCTCCCTTTTGAGGAAAGTAAGTTATACACAAGTGCTTGAAATCCAAACCTCAGAAACTAACTTTCCGTGTCTTAGTTTTCCTGTCTGTACAATGGGGATCGTGGACAGGTGCTACCTCCCAGGGTTGTGATGAGGATGAAACGACACGGTGTATGCAGAGTGCTTGGCTCCACATCCAGCACAGAACAAGTACTGAACAAATGTTAGCTGCGGATATTATCTTCTAAGTATAGACGGATTATTCTGTAAAGCATGAAATACCCAGTGGCTGGAAATGATGCTTAGGGAGAGTATGTAGGAACGGAAAAATGCTTATTATATATGAAAGAGAAAAGGGCCCAAAATAAAAATAAATGAACTCATGCACTAAAAAGACTCACAGGAAACACACCAAAATACCATCTGTGGTGGATTTTGGTTCTGGGATTTGGGGCAATTTTTTTTCTAACAAAATGTAAAAGGAGGCAATACATCACTAAGAAGAAGCACAATCCTCTTCACACTGATATTCAGGTGCAATGCAATCCCAGCAGAGCTCCCACCGGCTTCTTTGCAGAAGTGGACAAGCTGATCCTAAAACTTGTGTGGAAATGCAAGGGACCCAGAACAGCCAAAACAATCTTGAAAATGAGGGACAAATTTGGAGGGCTGGGCCCCAGGTGCTGCTGTCAGGGCTGAGCTGAGAGCCGAATGTTGAGATAACATAGCCATGACTATCAGGAACATTCCCTACTCGTGGGTCATTTGTTCTGTTGAAAGAAGGCCTTAAGCTTCATTGACAGAGGCGTCTTAGCACAGAGCAGAAAAATTCTTGCAGTACAAGGTGCTTTGGGAGGTAGCAAGCCTTTCATCCCTTGAGGTGTGGGAGCTGAGTTGGAAAACCCCCAAAATGAGAGAATGTAAAAGTTCTGAGGAGTTCTTTAGTCTCACGGTTTCCAAATGATAAAATTTTCACCAGACCACAGTGACTTGAGGGCAAAGGACACATAGTGAGATTTCCATAAAGCTTCATTTTTCATTTTAAGCCCCATTTTGTTTCTGATGACAATCTCCCTGCTTTTTTGATGCGGGACTATCCTTTCTGTTATAAAATGATGCCGACAGTTGATGTTTTTTGCTATTTTTATTTCCTTAATTGGCAAGATAAGGAGTTGGCAGCCCTCCTTTTCTCACTTTATAAAAATATTCTGGGGGACTCCCCTGGTGGCGCAGTGGTTAAGAATCCGCCTGCCAATGCAGGGGACACTGGTTCGAGCCCTGGTCTGGGAAGATTCCACATGCTGCGGAGCAACTAGGCCCGCAAGCCACAACTACTGAGCCCGTGTGCCACAACTACTTAAGCCCGCATGCCTAAAGCCCGTGCTCCGTAACAAGAGAAGCCACCGCAATGAGAAGCCCGCTCACCGCAACTAGAGAAAGCCTGTGCACAGCAACGAAGACCCAATGCCAGCCAAAAATAAATAAAATAAATTTTTAAAAAATTAAAAAACAATTCTGTAAGTCTGAGAACTCCCAAATCTGGGAAATACTGGGAATAAACTGCAGCTGCCTCAGGGACGCTCTGCCTGGGGTGGGGGACTGCACTAGCCAAGCTCTGTCAGGAGAACACAGGCTTGGGTTCCACTCACAGCTCTGTCACTGACTTGCTGTGGGAACTTGACAAGTTACTACAACTCCTCGAGTCTCTGTTTCTCCATCTGCAAAAGGAGGATGATGTACACATCTCAAGGCTGTTGTGAGAATTAAACCACATGACGGACCTGGACAATCACAGACACTTGAGAAAGTGTCTTTCAGAGTCCACGAGCTCAGTAAAGGTCCCCATTTTTTTCTTCGGCAAGTCAAAGAGTTGTCACTTCTTCAATTATTCTTTACATCCCCACTCTAGTTTCTTCTTCTGTGTATTCTCTAGTTTGTCACTGTCACTCTTGATATATGAATCTAGAACATATTCTACTGGCGTGGTCTGGCTGTGTACAAGAGAGAACCTACTATCACCTCCTTCAGTCTAGACTCTATACCTCCACTAACACAACCCGAGTTTGCAATGGATTTTTTTGTGCTCTTATCTCACTTCTTTGGTACTTGTTGAGCTGAGAATACCTAACAGCTCCAGATCTTCTTCACAAGAACGTTTGCAAAACCCTGCCTCCTATTCCAAACCTGTGCAATTGAAGTCTTGGACCTAAAATGAGGGGCTTTTTGCATTTATTCCCTTTTATACTTTGTCCAGTAGGACAAGGTGCCCCCTCTGACTAGATGGAGTCAAAGAAGACCTCAAATGTATTCTCACACTCAAGAAACTGAAAGGAATATTTAGCTGACTCTTTTTAGTCCAGGGAAGAGAATGTTTATTTGACTCTTAATGGAGTCCAAGGACAGCAGGGCTGGCACTAGGTAATAGGAAGACCTGGATGCTGTGGATTTAGTTCCCCCAAATCTCACCTGTATCAGGTTCACCCCAGGGGCCTGACGTGGTACTTCCCTGCCTCAGGGCAGTGGACCATCTGTCTGTCCCGGGATGGCCTGGGGACTTGAAAGAATTCACAAGCCCCGACAGGTTACACCTTGCAGGGCCCAGGGGTCTCCCACTGTCTCCTGAGAGGAGTGATGTCCCAGGATCTTCCCGCTGATCCAGGCCCCGGGAAGGGCACAGGCCCACACCCTCCCTCTCCCGCCATCCTGGCAGCTGGGTTGCATGCCAACACTGCCCGAGGGACACCTTGGCCCAGCTGGTGCCAATGTTCAGAACACACGGAAGGCAAAGTGCTCTCTTTATTGCTCTAGCTTGGCCCGCCAGCGTGGCTCCCAGGACGCTGCTCTGTCCTCGTGGGCTGAAAGGATGCAGTGGTGGTCACACCGGGGCCTGGCCTGGCTGCCCACCTGGCTCTGGCCTCAGTCGGTCTTCCTGAAGCCTGGAAGGCAAAGCCCACAGGATGGCATGGGATTCTGAAGGCAGCCAGGCCTCCTCCCCACCATTACCCCAGATGCCCAAATGCCCCTCAGAGCTGGGATAAGGCGGTCATGACCCACAGCCATTGCAACGAATTTCCCCTTTATGCACGAGGTGGATTAAAGGAGACAAAAGTTCATGACACGCAGGCACACAGCCCCTGGTCTCTCACTTTTGTGATTTAATGGTAGACACAGAGCTGCTGGTCAAGAAAGGGGATCTCCTTTAGCCTTGCCCAGCCACCCTAGCTGTGTGATTCTGGGCAAGTCACTCTACCTCTCTGACGAATGTAACTGACTAATGAGTTTCCTCATCAGCCAAGTGTAAGATAACTGAAACCCCCTCTCATCCCCAGCTGGGCAAATAAAATCACAAAGAAGACACTGTTTGGAGAGATGCAGAGTTCTGTGAGAGAATGAGGGATACCCAGGTCCCCTCCACTTCCCTACAATGGTTCAGACTTCAGGACCTTTACATCCATTCCTCACCTGATTTTCACAACACCTTTGTGCTGTAGGTATTATTACACCCATTTTCCAGTTGAGGAAACTGAGGCTAAAAGAGGCGCTAGAGCCCCAGAAATGGTAAATTGAAGGAGGCAGGACTTGAACCCAAGCCCATGACTCCAGGCCCTGTGCTCTTTCCAGTATGCTAAGCCTCATTTGCAACAGACGACCCTGGCAGGGAGAGAAAGTGAACATAGAAGAATGTAAAAGTTACCTATCAGCCTAAACTTCTGAAAGAGGGGAATGAAGCCATGCAGGACGCTGTGGATCCGGTACACTGTCAAGAACGGAGGAGAAAAAGGTGACGGAGCTGTGTCCCCTCGAAGGATCCGGGGTCAGACCTCCCCCTCCTGCCCTTGAACAAAGGCCTAACCCGTACAAACAAAGCTCTGATGGTGGAATTTCAGGCTGCAGGTTAAGCTTAGATAATGGTATTGAGTTCTTATTATTAAAAACAACCACGAGCAGCAATAACAATGCCAGGAAGCTCGGAGAATTCAGCACCTCGCTCCATTAACTGCCCTGTTTTCAGTATCTGGCTAATTCTGTTTGTTTGCCACTTTAAACTGTCTTTGTTGTATTTTTATGGAGCTGCCCATTTTTTCCATGGGGTTTTGCCAACGACCTCACATTGACCTTGAAAGCGGTCAGGAAGCAAACACAAGCATAAAGAAATCTTTATAAAAAGTTTAGGTCGTGGCTTTCCAGCCCTTGGCGAGCCCCTGCGGCCAGCCCAGCCGCTGCCCTCCCAGAGACTGTGTGCGAAGGTCTTACCCAGGCCAAAGTAGATGCCAACAGTCTCCAAGGAGGCGAAGGTGAGCAGCCCGACCCCAAGGGACATGAACCAGTCTGCAGGGGCAGCGAGGGAGAGAATGGTCAGCCTGCAAGTCTGGACCTCTGCCCCTGTTCTCACCCCCCCAACACTCACCTTTATAATAGTGATAACACACCAGCAAGGCCCCAATGGCAAAGCAGAGGAGGATGAAATGGAAAAACTCATCTGTAAAGGCAGAGGTGAAGATTACTGTTTGCTTCTTTCTCTCTTTTTAATTAACTAAAATATTCCTGTCTCTGCTCAAAGGGAGCTTTATTCAGAGAAGCTGCTCCTGACCAGCCCAACTAAAACAGCACCCCAAGCCCCACCAGTTTCAGCCCTCACCTCACTTCATTATTTTTCTAACACTTATCACCACTCAACTTGCTGGATTTTCACTGCTGTGTTTATTCTCTGACCCACTCTGTAGGATGGTGGTTGGGGATTTTGCCCATCATCTAAAGCGGCGCCGGGCATGCAGAGGTGTCCGACGCCTTATTTGTCAAATGATGCTAAATACAATTGTAAAAAATGCACGTGCCTAGTTTAAAAGTTTCCCATTGCTCCTTTCTCCCTTCCTAATCCAACTCCTTAAAAGCAAGCAGTGACTGACAAAACTTTTCCAAGTATATACGTGCACGTTCAAAAAAAACAAGAGCAGGATCGGTTTGTGTACCTGCTGCTCTATGGTTTGTTTTCCTCTCTTTGATAGATTGGGGCCATCCTTTCTATCTCCGAGCATATACAGATCTGCCCTGTTCTTTTATATATATATATACATTTATTTATGTGTTTATTTTTGGCTGTTGGGTCTTCGTTGCTGCGTGCGGGCTTTCTCTAGTTGCGGCGAGCGGGGGCTACTCTTCGTTATGGTGTGCGGGCTTCTCATTGTGGTGGCTTCTCTTGTTGAGGAGCACGGGCTCTACGTGTGCGGGCTCAGTAGTTGTGGCTCACAGGCTCTAGAGCGCAGCCTCAGTAGTTGTGGCCCACGGGCTTAGTTGCTCCGCGGCATGTGGGATCTTCCCAGACTGGGCTCGAACCTGTGTCCCCTGCACTGGCAGGCGGATTCTTAACCACTGCGCCACCAGGGAAGCCCCTGCCCTGTTCTTTCTGATGGCTGCATAGTGTTCCGTGGCATAAACTTACCCTAATTTATGTAACTAGTCTCCCATTGAGGAAGCTAGAAGGGACTGATTTTCTGCACCAAACATCACCGCATATGAATGTGTCTGTGCCCTTGTGTGTGCATTTCCGTGGGCCTGGTACCCAGAAGCAGCATTGCAGGCTCTTCCTAGTAGTTAATGGAGGTAGAGAGAGTAGCTGGGAGGCAGGGCCCATGCCCTGGGCAGGAATTCAGGGATGGTTTGTGAAGGAGGCCCCCCTGCCCTTTGCCAGGCGCTGCGGGAGTCATCAGGGGAGAGAACACAGGGGCCTTGACCCAGGCAGAGGGTTGTGATAGGGAAGATGCCAAAAAGGTTTTTAAAAGAAAGAAAAAGAAGAAAGAGAGGACAATTCAGAGACGGTTCCCTGGAACGAGGCAAGCTCTCTGAGTGGCCGAGGCTGCTGGGAATGTGTCCTACTTTAGTCCAGTTTGGCCACTGATGTGCTGTGAACTTTGGACAAGTGTCCTGACTCCCTTGAGCCTCAGCGTTCTCATTGATAAATCAAGGAGAGCAACCTCTACACCACTGACGGAGGGATGGATGGGGGTCTTGGAGGGGAAAGTCCTTTGTAAATGGTAAAAGGCAGAGTGAGACTACATATCACTGCTGTCAGGTGGCATGTGGAAGGCAAGTGAACAGAAGTGAGGAGGGTATTTCTGGTTTTATTTTTGTTAATTTTTCCCTGGGGGGAAAATCAAAAGATTATTTCTAGAACATTCTTGGCTCTGAAATCAATTTGTCCTTTAGAGGAAAAAAAAGACGTCATGCAGAACTAGACTTAACGTTTAAGAAAGCATCGGGCTTAGGTCTGTTCAGAGATGTGACAGAGTGGGGGTGAAAACTCTTTCCTCACCCAAATCTTCAGAAATGCAAAATGAATTCCTAGCAGAGAATTTCTCCCTGATCTTTCCCCCATTTTCTTATGAGTAAATACTTAGAAAATACAAATGTTTTTAAAAAGAGAGAGACTGCAGAGAAATGTAAGGCCAAACAGAGGGCTGGATGGCTAAGGCAGCTTAGTTTGAAAGAGCAAAAAATTAGAAATAACCTAAACATCTATCAAGTGGGGAATGGTAAATACATTATAAGGTCCCCACACTGTGGAATTGGATGCAGTTGTAAGATGTCATAAGCATTCAGGACTCACCATATCTGGGGCAGGGATTAATGGAAGAAAGAGAGTTTGAGGTAAGCCTTAAAGATAGCCAAGGCAGTAGGAGTTGGATGAAAGGGAAGATTTTGTGTGTGTGTGTGTGTGTGTGTGTGTGTGTGTACGTGCGCGTGTGCGTGCGCACATTCACATGCCATGAGACAGGTAAGAAGGTGGGACCAAGGCACAGACCCAGTACAGTGAAGGGTTCAACCAGGTGAGGGCAGGGTAAGTGAATTTCTGGGAAGAGAACTTCAAGTTTTAGGGAACTAGAAGTTTTGGGGGCTGAAGAGATCAGGCCGGGATAAGGACTCCAAGGTGTATTGGAGCCAAGAGGGACCTAGGGGATCACCCTTGTCTGTTTTTTCTGATTTCAGCCATCCACACACCACCTTTGTGGGTTTTGCCCTTTCTACGTAGCACTGCTTATGACCTTCACTATTTCTTGCTACCCAAGGACCACTTGTACTATTTACTTAAAGTTTTTCTTTAAGCAGATTCTTATTTTTCCTTAAATAGATTTACTTGAAAAGGAAACTTCATGTTACAACACTAAGTGGAAAACTAGGATCCCATGTCTTAAGAACAAACGCAAGGCCCATAAAGCAAGACGGTGAAGGTCTACCCGCCGCTGCCTGCAGACGGCTCTGCGTATGGTCCTGATCTCTGTGTCCGGAGGGCAGTGAGCAAGGGTCAGGGTGGCACTAAAGGCCCAGGGGCTCCAAGCAGAGAAAGAGAGGGAAAAGGGCAGTCACCTTCTCACTTGGGAGTATAATGCCATGTCCTGAAGCAACCTGGACATGGCCTGCGCTTTGGGAATCTCAGTTTTAGTGGGATGAGGCTCACTTCATAGCCCGGGACAGCTCGACAGCACATCCCGGTTCATGTAGCTTGATGGAGGCAGAGCCAGGGGCTCGGACACAGGTCTCCCACTCCCTAAAGGCGGGCTTTTGAACAACTCAAAATATTTCTAGAGGGCTTCCCTGGTGGTCCCGTGGTAAAGAATCCGCCTGCCTATGCAGGGGATGTGGGTTCGATCCCTGGTTGGGGAACTAAGATCCCACATGCCGCAGGGCAGCTAAGCCCGCACGCCGCAACTACTGAGCCTGCACTCTAGAGCCCATGCTCTGCAACAAGAGAAGCCACTGCAATGAGAAGCCCACGTACCGCAACAAAGAGGAGTCCCCTCTCGCCACAATTAGAGAAAGCCTGCACGCGAATACCCAACGCAGCCAAAAATAAATAAATAAATTTATATATAAAAAACAAAACAAAACAAAAACTATGCTCTTGGGAGTTCCCTGGTGGCATAGTGGTTAGGATTCCAGGCTTTCACTGCTGGGGCCCGAGTTCAATCCCTGGTCGGCGAACTAAGAAGATTCCACATGCCTCGCAATGCGGCCAGAAAAACTGCCCAAAACCCCCCCAAAACACATGGTCTTCCTTCCCACCCTTACCCTCCTCCCTGAAGCCCCCACGATTCCAGGCCTGGAGTCGAGGCAGTCCCTCCGGTTCTCATCACTCCTTCCCTAGAGTCCAGTCTAATCTAACCTCACAGCTTCCTCGGCCCAGCCTGTTCCCAGCTCCCCATTATGGCCATAAGGCCTGGAGGGCGTTTATCATGCTAGTGACTCGGCGTACAGCAGAAAGAGCACAGGACCAGGATCCAAGCGCAAGTCGTGTCACTCACTAGCTGTAAGACCACTCCCCGTCCTTGAGCCTCAGTTTCTATATCTGCAAAACAGGAATCATTGTACCACCTTCTCAAGGTGATTCTAAGCTGAGGATTTTGCAAACTGCAGGGCCCGCAGCAGAGGTGGGCCATGATTACTGTCGTTCCAGGCCACCAGCTGACTTTCTACCCAGAGAAATCTGGACCAGACAAAAGCAGCAGCCCTGGAACCCCAATTTCCTTACCATCCTTCTTTATATTTAGTCTTCTTAACTGAGAGGGCTCCACTTCTCCTTGGGAACAAGAGAGAGACGACGGTTTAACTCTGACACGGTATAGCTGGTGGGATTCTCGCTCCCCTGCCTCACTGAGAATGGCTCTCCCAGGTTCTATTTCCTGGGTCAGAGGGCACTCACTGCAGGACCGGTCAGGGCAAAGCTTGAAGGTGGGGTGGCTGTCCTTGGACCTCCACTGATGCCCTCCTCCTCCACAGGCCTGTGTCTGTTCTGATCCATGTCACCTGAGCCCGGAGGCCCCTTTCCTGGATCACGGTGACACTCTGGCTGGTGACGGCATTGCTGCTGGGATTGATCTCCCTCCCCCCCGCCCCAGGCTGCCTGTGGTCCTGTCCCAGCCCCTGGAATCCAGGCCACCTCCCACTCCCCTCTTGGAGCTTGCATATTTACCACTTTCTGGATTAGAGCCTCTCCTTCGGAGTCCTGGAAATTAGAAACTCAACATTAGTGCCCAGGCCAGCTTGGGTCCTTAACGAGTGCCACAGGTGACTTCTGAAAACGCCCCTGTTGAATTCTCCAGCCCCCAGGGGATCTTTCTATCTATAGATTGTTATTAATAATCCCTTTGTTCTTGCCTGGACCCCCTTTCTAACCTCCACTGGTCCCCCGTCTCATGCCACAGCCAGCCCCGCCTGCTTGCTGAACCCAGGTCAGAGCCCCAGGCCCCAAGCAGACTGGGAGTCCCATCTCTCACAGCCGTGCACCTGATAGCACCTGCCTCTTTTGGGGGAAAGATGATGCCCAGACCTCGTTCAACACCAGTACCAACGACCCCTCTCCCCTAAAAGACACTCACCTGATTCCTCAGACGGCACCACCTCCCCGGGGGCACCTGCACAGAAGGGAAATCAGTGACTGCATATTCATATCCTCTGGGTGGAGAGAAGTTACACTGCAGAGAGACTTCCCATTGATCTGCAGGGGGCACTGGAGCAAACTGGAGGGTTCCTCTTTCATCTAAAGGGGCAGGCACCACCCCGCAGTCCCCGAAAGCTGCCGCAGCAATGCCTGCCCCATGTTACAGGTCTTCTAATTTCCCACGAGAAGCCAGAAATCCAGGTTTTTATATAAACTTCTTGACTATAAAAAAAGCTGGCAATTCATATTCCATCGAATCAAAGATATCATGGTTTGTGAGAATGACGTCATTTTATGGAAGGAAAACTACTGCCAATTATAACTGCAAGTTGCCAGTGATTTTAAGAGGCACCCTGATTTCACAGATCTCCAGATGTGAAAAACTGTTAGCTGTAGATGTGATGAAATATATTAAGAACAATAATAATAATAAAGATACTCTGTGAGCCAGATGATATACATCTGTACACACAGGCCACCAGTTTGCAATCTGTGCCTGTTCATTCCTATCCAGATGCAGGTGAGGACACTTAGCCACGTGGCTCCAGCCCCACCAGGCCCTGAGCTTGTGGAAGCCAAGCTGGGTTGTACCATGGGGGCCCTGGCCCCTGACCCCAGTGTGGAGCTCCTGTCTGGGCTGCCTAGGGTGAATCGAGCCCTATACGTGCCCTGAGGTGCAGCATTCCCTTTAATCTGGCCTGGGTAGCCCTCCCACCTCATTCACACTCTGGTTCTTTTTTTTTTTTTTTTAATATTTATTTACTTAGGCTGCGCTGGGTCTTAGTTGTGGCACGCAGAAACTTTAGTTGTGGCATGCAGACTCTTAGCTGTGGCATACATGAGGGATCTAGTTCCCCAACCAGGGATCGAACCCGGGCCCCCTGCATTGGGAACGCGGAGTGTTTCCCACTGAACCACCAGGGAAGTCCCCACCCTCTGGTTCTTGGCGCCTACTCTATTCCCAGTGACTTCTCTCCTAGCCTGTCACCTTCTTCCCCTCAAGGGGAGGCCGGAGTCCCCACTCTGTACACTTCCGCCCTCCAGATCAGCCCCAGGACACAAACACCCGAAGGGGGCACTTAGCTCATGGCAATAAACACTCAGTATGCTGAACTGTCTTTAGGCTAATGTGCAAACAGGAGCCAGTGTCTGCAAGTGACCAGAGAGGCCAGCACCAAGGGTACAGAAGGCAAACCAAGAACGGCATGAAATGAGACTCCGGCAGCGTAATTACCAAGTACCTCTGGTGTCTCGGGAGGGGGGAGGCGGGGCGGGGAATTCACTACTTGGGGGAATTAATTCACAAATACGTGACGATACCTACGTTTTCTACAGTGAACATGACTTACTTTTTGATGAGAAAAAAACATTTAAAATGTATGTATATGTAACAGTTTCTCTCTCATTTTACACTCAGTGAAAACTTTCTTACACTACTTAATTAACAACATTTTAAAAAATTAGATAGTACCTGTTTTTGTTTAAAAAAAAGAAAAAGAAAATCAGAAAATTCAGATGAAAGAAAATAGTATGACGATTACTCACAATGCTACCACCCAGTGGCAGCCACTGGTAATACCTTGATGCAGAATATTAAGATATTTCATTTCCATTTCTTTGAATGTATATGTGTTTCCCGTTGTATTTCTTGGGTTATTATCTGGCATTAGGAGACTACGCGGATTATGTAAATGTTGGATTAAACAAAGTTAAACAGGTTTTCTTATCTGGCAGTGTTCATTTATGAGGCTTTTTGGCAAACTGGTTCATTCCTACAAATTCCTCCATTTCATCAAAGTGCTACCAAGCAAAGTGCCATAATATTTATATCTGCTCGCTGTAAAAATCACGATGCTTAGAGACAATTACTCCGTAATTTGAGTTTTGTAGAAATCAGGTCCTTAATTTTCCCTTGCATGCTTAAACAACCCAGTATTCCAAGAGAGAAGGTACTGATTAAGTTCCATCTTGCTGGTTGGAAAGCTGAGGCCCAGAAAGGTTGGGTGACTGGTCACAGTCAACCTGCAAGTCAGGGTTATAGATCAGAAGAGATTCCAAGACAGTCTGACTGTGGCAGAAAATGCCTGCCCCCACCTCCATCTGCCCATGTTATAACCACTCACCTTGCCACACCTCCTATATCTGCCCAGGACTTTGAGCTCATGAAACACCCTCATCACCTTGTTTCCTCCCAACAAAGCCCTAAGCCTTCATGTCCTTTGTTTAATTCTGTTTCCCCCAAAGCCACTGTACAGACAATCACCTTCATAGAGTTGAAGCTCATTCTTCAAAACGTCAGGCTCCCCATGCTCAGAACCTGGGTGTAGACAAAGCCTGTTAGTCAGCTCCCCACAGTTACAGCACCCCAGAGTGGCTTCCCTCTCCTGGTGTCGGAAGCCTTAAAAAGTAACATAGTCTTTGCGCTGGGGGTGAGGTGGGCGCTCTTCAAGAGGCAAGACAGCTGTACAAGAGCATTCCTGCTGCTCTGTCTGACGCCCCTCACACGCCCTGAGGTGACTGTGTTCAGCTGACTGAAGAAGAACTGGGGGCCTGAGAGGACCTGGGCCTCGTTCAAAGTCAGTAATAAGAGTCGCCATTTTTTGAGCACTTACTATGTACCAACACTGAACTAAGTAATTTATAGTTAATATTTCATTTGATCCTCTTGGAAATGCTGTGAAGAAGGTATTAATGCCTCTCTCTCCCCACTTTACAGATAAGGAAACTGAGGCTCACAAAAGTTAAGTTATTCGTGGAAAGTCACACAGTCAGGAAGCAGAAATTCCAGGGTTCAAACCCAGGTCTGTCACCAAGGCCTGCATTTCTAATAATTTTTATCTCTAAAAATAGAACCCAGAGCTCAGCTCCAGAGTCATGAGAGCATTTATTAAACACCTTATGTGTGCCAGGATCTGTACTAGGCATTAGTCCAGGCTCTTTCCCCCAAGTTCTTTTCTTCCCACAATCAATTTAGGCTAACATTTATTAAAGTTTTTTTTTAAAAAAACAAAATTATATTCTTCTGGTTATAAAGATAAAAAAGATTATTGTAAAATATCTATGGTATAAGTCAATTCAAAAAAAAAACAAGAAAATGAAAATCACCCATAATTTAACCATCCAGAGATAATCACTATTAACATTTTGATATTTTTCCTTCCAGTCTTGTTTACAATCATGTATGCGTGAATTTTTACAAAGTGTATATGAGATCAAATGAATTCTATGATTTGAATTTCTCTTTTTCACTTTAGAGATGTATGAAGACCAGAGCTCTGACCAGGACAGGGTGTAGCATCACTGCTCTATGTTGCTGTTGTTGGACGTTAGGTTGTTTCTATTGTTGCCCTACTATAAATAACACTGCAAGGAACAAATTTTCACACGGGGGACTTCCCTGGTGGTGCAGTGGTTAAGAATCTGCCTGCCAATGCAGGGGACACGGGTTCAAGCCCTGGTCCAGGAAGATCTCACACGCCACACAGCAACTAAGCCCATGCGCCACAACTACTGAGTCTGTGCTCTAGAGGCTGTGAGCCACAACAATTGAGCGCATGTGCCACAACTACTGAAGCCCTCACACCTAGAGCCCGTGCACCGCAATGAAGAGTAGCCCTCGCTCGCCACAACTAGGGAAAGCCCGAGCGCAGCAACGAAGACCCAACGCAGCCAAAAATAAATAAATAAATAAATGTATTTATTTATTTAAAAAAAAAATCTTCACACGGACATGCGCAGGCCCACTGAGAAATTCAACCATCAGCCAAGTGGGCAAAGGAGAAATGGTGAGGCCTACTGCCTACTGGGCAAGCTGCCCCTGCAGGGGAGACCAGCCCCCGTCTCTGCCAACGTTTTCCAGTTACTCAGGGGGGCTAGTCCTCGTTGCTGCTCTTTGCAGGGAACAAACACAAGCTGTGGGAGAACCTCAGCCTGGATCGAGCCTGGAATACCTCATTCTGGTGTCGGTTCTCAAAATTTAGTTTATGTGAGGAGTGTGGTCTGGGGGAAGAATTCTGCTTTGAGGGTTAGGGGACAGGAACTGCCATGAACTTTCTGTGTGACCTCAGACAAATCACTTACTATGTTCAATACGGCTTTCACTAAGATAAGACAAGGTCCTGTGAAGTATCGTGTTACTGAGGTGCTTTCCCTACTGCCCAGTATGGGGGCTGCATCAACTCTGTGATGCCACCAACGCCACGCTGACTCTGGGTTTGCTCGTGCTCTGTCTCCCACCTGGAATGCCCTTCCCACTTACTCCCTTATCCTGAAGCTTAAGCTGATGTCACACCTCCTGTAGAAGGGCTTTTCCAGCTGCCCCAGCTCACACGCATCTTGCCCACCCTCCTCTGGGGTTTCTATAGCATCAACTGTCTGTGCTTGACACAGTGGGCATGAGGGTCCCTGGTGGTGCTCATCCCTCCAACCACCTTGAGCCCCTGAAGGACGAGGCCTGGGTATCACTGTCCTAAGGCTGCCCCGCCTGCAGCAGGAGTTTGATTAAAGCCTTGAAGAATGACCGCGTTGTTGGCACTCTTGGATTGGTCAGCATTCTGGGGATTCAGGCCTAGGAGTTTCTAGCTTCAGGTCCAGAGGATTCCCTTTTCCTCAGGATGACCAAGAGGGCCCCAGCAGTCCCGATGTTCCTCAGCGGGCTTGGGGACCTCCTGGTCTATCATGGATAAATTTTTTAATTATAGGAAACCAAGTTAACTGTGCTTAAAAATCAGTGCAGAAAAAAAAAAAATCAGTGCGTATGTGATCTCAACTGGTACAGAAAAAGAGGTATCAGGAAGTACATCAAGATAACAACAGTGGTATTTATCTCAAGAGATGGGATTTTGAGTGGCTTCTATTTTCTTCTTTTCTGTATTTTACAAATATCAATCAATGCCCCCAAAAGGCTTTTTCATCATATTTTGCAAAATATCAAACAATACAGAAAATAAGAAAGCAAAAATTACTCCAAATTCTATCCAACAGGGACAATCTCTATTAACATTCACATCAATATTATTTTAGCTTTCTCCATGATATATTCATAATTTTTTTTTTTTTTTTTTTTCTGTACGCGGGCCTCTCACTGTTGTGGCCTCTCCCATTGTGGAGCACAGGCTCCGGACGCACAGGCTCAGCGGCCATGGCTCACGGGCCCAGCTGCTCTGCGGCATGTGGGATCTTCCCGGACTGGGGCACGAACCCGCATCCCCTGCATCAGCAGGCGGACTCTCAACCACTGGGCCACCAGGGAAGCCCCATAAGATATAATTTTTAAAACTTGTTCAAGGATTGATTTTTTCCTTTTCCATTATGGTTTATTACAGGATACTGAATATAGTTCCCTATGCATAATATATAATTTTTAATAAAAGGTATTGTAGAATTGTATGCTGTCAAGAATGAGGATAATTTTTCTGTGTTCTGTCTAATTCAATTGTTTAAAAAATTAACTCTGGCAGAAAAAATCACGTTTGTTTCTGGTGTCCCGAGTATCCATCACTGAGCCTGGCACATAGTTGATGCTCAATAAATATTTATTGAATAACTGTAAGGAGATACACTAATATGTGTTTAGTGGTTATCTAACAGAGCAAAGGATGATTTTTTTCCTTCTTTCTACTTCTTTGTATGTTCCATATTTTCTACAATGTGCCCATGTGTAATCTTTCATAATGAAAAAACGTTTTAATTTAAAAATAACAGGATAGGGACTTCCCTAGTGGCGCGGTGGTTGGGACTCCGTGCTCCCAATGAGGGGTGCCCAGGTTCGATCCCTGGTCAGGGAACTAGATCCCACGTGCATGTCGTGACTAAGAGTTCACATGCCACAACTAAGGAGCCGGCAAGCCTCAACTAAGGAGCCCACGAGCCACAACTAAGATCCAGCATAACCAAATAAATAAATATTTTAAAAAACCCAAACAGGATACGTTAAGAACAAAAAGCTGGGCTTCCCTGGTGGCGCAGTGGTTGAGAGTCCGCCTGCCGATGCAGGGGACACGGGTTCGTGCCCCAGTCCGGGAAGATCACACATGCCGCGGAGCGGCTGGGCCTGTGAGCCATGGCTGCTGAGCCTGCGCGTCTGGAGCCTGTGCTCCACAATGGGAGAGGCCGCAACAGTGAGAGGCCCGCGTACCGCAAAAAACAAAAACAAAAACAAAAAAAAGAACAAAAAGCTATGTAGGGAGAGTGGTGCTGCATGCCAGACTCTGAGTTAGGGCCCTAACGTGGAGGAAGGTGGGGGGCTGCTGGGAGGCACCCAGGCTTGGGGCCCAAGGACTAATGGTCACCGTCTGAGCCTGAAGAATGGGCAGGGTCTGAGTTCCAGCAGCAGGCCAACCAGGGTAGGACCAGAGACCAGGATCCTGAATGTCAGTCTGTCTCAATGCTTCTAGGACTCCATGTTTATTTTCCTGCTGCTTTCTTTTAAGTGTTCAGTTTTGTAAACTACGCCCAGTCCCATGTGTATGTACTCTGGAGACCAGAAGGAAGGAACTTATGGCCACACTTGGGGGAGAACATTTGTGGGGGAGCAGCAACCCCTGAGGGTCAATCAGAATCAGAAGACAGAACGTCCCTTCCCACCTACGGAGGACAAACAAAGGGACAGAATCCCGTGTTGTAGCCCTCCTGCCTCTGGAAGCTCTTCTAGAACTAAACCTCACTGGCCTCGGTTTCCTCACCTGTAAAATGGGAATAACAACAATGCCTTCCTCATGGGTTGCTATGAGAATTAACTGAGTTATTCCACATAAAGTGCTTGGAACGCTACCTGGCACAAAGTAAGTGCTCAATAAATGCTAGCTGTGATGTTGCTGCTGCTATAAATTCAGCCTTACCTTTTGAGTTAAAAGAATAAAAGTAGAGAGACATCCTGCTTCTTTTCAGAGAATAATGTGGCAATTTGTAATCAAAGTCCAATTAGAGATGCTCATCCCTCTAAACCCATTAAAGTGCTTGTGGGAGTAGATATGTAGGACTTGATTTGTATGAAAAATTCAAAAAGTAAAGGCTTTTGTGCAAGGATGCTCTTGAGCAGGACAAACAAGCAGGGTGGGGAAGGGGGAAAATCTTAACAATAGCAGTTATTTTTAGAGCTATTACTATCTGATAGGTGCTAAGCCTTTGCACGTGTAGAATGTAATCCTCACAGGTATCCTATGAGATAACTTTTGTTATCATTCCCATCTTATGCATGAGGACTCCAGGGCACACAGGGTTAAGCAATTTACCCAAGGACGCTTAGCTAGTTAGTGGCAAAGAAAGGGTATGAACCTGCAGGCTGCCTGAATGGACACATGCACTGCCCCTGATTCCAAAGTGCTCCTACAAAACTTAAACGTTCCTTTACATGAGACGCAGTCACTTTGAGGGGCTACTTGGGAAACATGAAAAATAGCCGCTAAGATATTATGGAATAACATGGCAAAATGCTTAGGATAAGATAGCAAAAAAAATTGTAAACCAAGGACAAAATTGTCCATACGGTAATTTTTTGGGTTCTTTTTTTTTGGCCACACTACGTGGCATATGGGATCTTAGTTCCCTGACCAGGCATCGAACACGTGCCCCCTGCAGTGGAAGCGTGGATTCTAAACCACTGGACCACCAGGGAAGTCCCTCTATGGTAGTTATAACTGTGTACAAGCTACATGTACAGAGAGGCAGGCTCTGGAAGGGAACATGGAAAAAGAGAGCTGTAGTACCGAGGTGGGAGGTTCAGGAGACTGGTTTTTCTTCTTTTCTCTTTTTGTTAATTTTTTTCTTTTTTTTTAATTTATTTTTTTGGCTGCGTTGGCTTTTTGTTGCTGTGTGCGGGCTTTCTCTAGCTGCGGTGAGCGGGGTCTACTCTTCGTTGCGGTGTGCAGGCTTCTCATTGCGGTGGCTTCTCTTGTTGCGGAGCACAATCTCTAGGCGTGTGGGCTTCAGTAGTTGTGGCACGCGGGCTCAGTAGTTGTAGCTCGCGGGCTTAGTTGCTCCACGGCATGTGGGATCTTCCCAGACCAGGGCTTGAACCCGTGTCCCCTGCATTGGCAGGCGGATTCTTAACCACTGCGCCACCAGGGAAGTCCAGGAGATTGGTTTTTCCATGTAAATGCTTGTCTTTAATATCTTAATATAGATTTATTTAATGAAATCATTGCTTTACCTGAGGAGGAGGATGAAGAGGAGGAAGACTTGCCGCTCTCATCTTGGTCTTGAGAATAGAGCTCAGCCTCCTCGTCTTGCTTGTGGAAATCCGTCTCTCCATCTGGGAGGCACACATAGGCAAGGATGAGCGTTTCCTGCCCTTCCCACCCCAGAGACCACCCAGGCCTCCCCAGGGGTCTACTTGGATGTGGGGAGCAAGGAGTGGCTGGATTCACTGGGACACTCTTCCCAAACCCCTAGGGCCAATGGGAGGTACAGGACACCAGGGATCTCAGAGGCCCCAGAGGCTCTAGGAAGGCCAAAGGCAGACTTTTCTCTGAATGTGGAGCCCAGAGAGGGGCTTCTAAGCCCTCTATCCTTCCCAAGAGACCACTACACTGTGTAGAGCAGTTGCCAATTTAAAATTCTCTGTAAATTACAGGGCAGGTGGGATCCGATCGAGCCCTAAACCTTCCCATTCCCCATTCTGGGGCCATGCAGGACGCTTCCCACCTTCTGAGGACACTCCCTAGTGCAAGTCCAAGCCCCCAGAGCCTCTGAGATTTGGGGAGCAACTGAGGGTCCACACAGCTAGAGTACTGGGGGACAGACTGGACCAAGCACACACATGTGCATGTGTGTAAAGTCACTACTTCTCTAGAGGTTTTGACCGTAACTTGGGCCATTCATTGTGCCGCATGAGCTGAGCAGGGTCTTCTGTTCCACCTACTGCTGGACTTCACCTCCCATGCGGCTTTGCCCAGAGGGCAGAGAGAGCAAACATACGGTCTAGATCTTCTGATTCTCCGTGGACTCGACTGTGGTCCTGAAGTGATCCTGAAGTCTCCATGGCCTCCCCTGTTGGAATAACAATAGTAATTAATATTACCTTAGTTAATATGTTTAATATATAAAGAGCTTGGCAAATAAATAAGAAAAATATAAACAACCAATATTCAAAGGTACAAGAACAATTTATGAAAAAAGAAATACACAATTAGGGAAATTTGAATAATGATCACCTTTTGATACTATTAAGAGCTTATTTTTTAAAAAAGAGACTTCAGTTTTTACAGCAGCCCTAGGTTCACAGCAAGATTGAGTGGAAGGTAAAAAAAAAAAAAAAAAAAATTGAGTGGAAGGTACAAAGGTTGCCCATATATCCCCTGCTCCTAAACGTGCATAGTCTCCCCTGTTATCAACATCCTCCATTAGAGAACTTATTTTTTTAGGTGTGATATTTATATTGAAGTTATATTTATTTAAAGTATTCTTAAATTTAGAGATAAATACTGCAATGTTTATGATGAAATTATATGATGTCTAGGACATGCTTCAAAATAATCTGATTATTTGAATAAGGGAGTTGGAGGGCGTAGGTGGGGGTCCAAATATAACAAACACGACCACGAGTTAATAATTGTTGGAGCTATAACAAAATATAAACAGTAGTTAGATCTCTGAGTGGTAGCATTATGGGTATTTTTACTTTGCCTTTTCTAAATTTTTAGCAGTATTGCTTTTTTTCTTTTCCTTGTTTTTTCTTTTTCCACTATAGTTTATTACAAGATATTGAGTATAGTTCTCTGTGCTATACAGTAAATCCTTGTTATTTATCTATTTTATATATGGTGGTGTGCATCTGTTAATCCCATACTCCTAATTTATCTCTCCCCCCATTTCCCCGTCGGTAACTAACTGTAAGTTTGTTTTCTATGTCAGTATTTCTTTTGTTATAATAAAACAACCAATAATTTTTCATTACTTAAAAATGTAATATACCACCTTATATCAGTACAGTACTTAACAGTTTTACAAAGGGCTTATGTGTCTGTAATTCCATCTGAGCCTGATCACAAACCAGTCTGTTAGGAATTGGAATTAATTACTTCACACCTGAATTGTAGTTTCTAGACAACAAAACTTCCCCAAAGATTGTTTCACTTGACTCTTACAATAACCCTGCAAGGTAAATTTTTTTTTTTTTTTTTTTGCGGTACGCAGGCCTCTCACTGCTGTCGCCTCTCCCGCTGTGGAGCACAGGCTCCGGACGCACAGGCTCAGCGGCCATGGCTCATGGGCCCAGCCGCTCCGCGGCATGTAGGATCCTCCCGGACCGGGGCACAAACCCGTGTCCCCTGCATCGGCAGGCGGACTCCCAACCACTGCGCCACAAGGGAAGCCCAAGCAAGGTAAATTTTATCATCCTCATTTTACAGAGGAGGAAACTGAGGCTCAAAGAGATGAAGAGATTTTGCATGAATTGGGACTCCAGAACCCACGTTCTGTTTAATGTACCCCAAACACTCGTGTGGAGCACTGCTCAAAGTCAAGCCCTGCTGGTATGGCTGTCAGGATTACAGATGCAAACGGTAAAGCAAGGGCAGGAAGCAGGCACTTGAAGGTGCAGCATGAGGTTTGGGAATCTGTCCCCTCAGGACACCATACTCTGTGCTTTCCTGAAATTCTGAGTGGGAGCTAGTGGTAACTCGAAGCCGGCCTTCAGATGAGGCCATGAGAAGGCCATAAGTGTGGCCCTGGAAAATCTAAACGGCTAACCCCAGTGAGCTGGTGCTCTCCTCTGGGGAAAATACACGGGGCTGCCATGGTTGGGCTGCCTTGATTTTAGCTGGGCACATGGCCCCCAGCTAGAGACTGTATTTCCCAGCATCCCTTGAAGCTAGGCGTGGCCTTGGGACCATGTGACTCATATTCCTGCCAACAGACCGTGAATGAAGGGGATCTGCGTGGTGGTGAGCTGACAAGATGTTCTAGGGTTCTGGGGGAAAAAGTATACACACACACAGATATGTCTGCTGTAAATTTTACTGATGTAAAGAATGTATGGGGGGATAAATTAGGAATTTGGGATTAACAGATACACACCACTATACATAAAATAGATAAACAACAAGGACCTAACAATTAGCACAGGGAACTATATTCAATATCTTGTAATAACCTATAATAGAAAAGAATCTGAAAAAGAATACTTATATATGTATATGTATAACTGAATCACTTTGCTGTACACCTGAAACATTGTAAATCAACTATACTTCAGGAAAAAATAATAAATAAAATTTTAAAAAGAATGTATAGCACAGAGTTACAAAAAATAAAAATACAGTCCTCTTTATTGTGAATTTCATACACCTCTAGCTTCAGTGTGACTTGGAATTTCTTGCAAAATATACTATCAGTTTTTACAAATCTATCACCAACAATAGTGTCACAAGGGCTTCCCTGGTGGCACAGTGGTTGAGAATCTGCCTGCTAATGCAGGGGACACAGGTTCGAGCCCTGGTCTGGGAGGATCCCACATGCCACGGAGCAACTAGGCCTGTGAGCCACAACTACTGAGCCTGCGCGTCTGGAGCTTGTGCTCCGCAGCAAGAGAGGCCGCGATAGTGAGAGGCCCGCGCACCGCGATGAAGAGTGGCCCCCGCTTGCCACAACTAGAGAAAGCCCTCGCACAGAAACGAAGACCCAACACAGCAAAAATAAATCAATTAATTAATAAACTCCTATCCCCAACATCTTCTTTAAAATAAATTAAAAAAAAAAATAGTGTCACAAAATCAAACTACAAATAAATGCTCAATCACTACCAAATTCAGAAAAGAGGCTGCTCACATCATGGATGAACAAGAGCACTGCCAACGTGAATGTTGGCTGATAACTTCTTTCATGTTAACAAGTAAGATGAAAGGCAAACAACAAATGCCTTTGTCATCACAGTTTGTCAGTGATATAAGCAACATCTTTGCTGAATCGAATCATATTTTACAGATTCTGGAAGAATACTTTCTCAACTTTTTGTGTTATTCACAGTGTAATGGCAACAGGTGTAATGCAATGCCTACAGGTTTGAGGTTTAATCTCCATTATTAACATTTGCTTGATCACTTTCTTAAATTTAGACAATCGACAAAGCAAACATTCAAGCTCTAATTTGTAGAGTTTACTGATCTCTGTGACTGATACCACTGTGATGCCATGGACTGCAAAGTTGGGAAGGCTGGGCTTCCCTGGTGGCGCAGTGGTTGAGAGTCCGCCTGCCGATGCAGGGGACATGGGTTCGTGCCCCGGTCCAGGAAGATCCCACATGCCGCAGAGCGGCTGGGCCCGTGAGCCATGGCCGCTGAGCCTGCGTGTCTGGAGCCTGTGCTCCGCGACGGGAGAGGCCACAACAGCGAGAGGCCCGCATACCGCCAAAAAAAAAAAAAAAAAAGTTGGGAAGGCATGGACAGTGGAACCCAGCCTTACGCAGTGATTCCACAATACAGATAAAACAGATGTGAAAATCTCAAGGGCCTAGGTAATGGGCAGAATGTAGCAAAATAAATTAGGAAGTGATACATTTTGAGTACTTATTAACCTTTTTTTAACATAAATTAGTTATTTATACATTTATAGAATTTAATTTAATAATGGTTGTGTTTAACAACCGATTCCCAGCTCTGGGCTTATAAACTTCTGTGCCTTCTACTTCCTCTTTCCTGCTTTTTGTATGCTGGAATGCAGACATGGGGTGGAGAATAACTTCAATCACGCAAACTGAGCCAACACCCCAGGGAATCCCTGAGCAACAAGGCAAAGGAACCTGGGCCCTGAAAGGCCTCACGCACAAAGCCGTCTGCGCACATGGACCTGTCTCTGGTCATTTATGTGCACGGGAAATGAGCTTCTCGCTTATGTAATCCCAGGGATTCGGTCTCTGTTACAGCATCTCAGCCACGCTGTGCAGGCTTCGTTCTGAAGCACCCCCCTGCCATTTCTTCTCCTCCCAGCTCTGAGACTAAGGCCTTAACTTCAAGAGGAGGTAGATTCACTCCTCTCTAACAAGCTTAGACCTCGGTTCCCAACCTCAACGCTCCCCACGTTTGGGACCAATGATCCTTTGCCGGTGTGTGCATTGTAAGGTGTTTAGCGGCCTCCCCGCTGGATGCAGGTAACACCCCACCCAGTTGTTGTGACAATCAAAAATGTCACCAGACATTTCCCAATGTCTCCTGGGGGCAAAAATCACCCCTACTTGGGAACCACTGGTCTAGAGAATCTACTCTTTTTTTAAAAGTTTAATTAAACATTTTTATTGAGGTATAATGCTCATATAACATTATATTAGTTTCAAGGGTACAACATGATGATTCGATATTTGTATATGTTGCAACATGATCACCACAGTAGTCTAGTTGGCATCTGTCACCATACATCGTTACAAAATTTTTTTTCTTGTGATGACAACTTTTAAGGTCTGCTCTCTCAGCAACTTTGAAATATGCAGTACAGTATTACGAACTATAGTCACCATGCCGTACATTACATGCCCAGGACTTTTTTATTGTGTAACTAGAAGTTTGTACCTTTTGACCCCCTTCACCTATTTCGTCCACCCCCAACCCCCCATCTCTGGCAACCACCAATCTCTTCTCTGTATCTATGACTTTGCGGGGGTTTTGTTTGTTTTTAGTAGAGAATCTACTCTTAACCCACCACAAGACCTTGACAAGGCAGCATCCTTCCTCGTGCCTCAGAGCTGGATTGCCTGGCTGTGAATCTGATCTGACACTTCTAGCTGTGGGATTCTGGGCCAGTCACTTAACCTCTTATGTGCCTCAGGTTTCCCGTCTGTAAAATGGGGACAATGATAGTGTTTACCTCATAGTATTGTTGTGAAAATGGCATGACTTAAAATTCATAAAGCACTCAGAACAATGCCTGGTATAGAGCAAGGGCTGAACAAATGCCAGCTGAGATGATGATCATTATTATGACAGGGCGTGGCAACAAGACAGCATATGCTTTGGGGTGAGACTGACAAGGGTCCAACCCCACTTCCGTCACCTGTGCAC